GCCTTCTCCCAGAGTCCACAAGTCTGTTCTATACATCGGGGTCTCTTTTTCTGTTTTGCATATAGGGTTATCGTTACCATCTTTCTAAATTCCATATATATGTGTTAGTATACTGTAATGGTCTTTATCTTTCTGGCTTACTTCGCTCTGTATAATGGGCTCCAGTTTCATCCATCTCATTAGAACTGATTCAAATGAATTCTTTTTAATGGCTGAGTAATCTTCCATGGTGTATATGTACCACAGCTTCCTCATCCATTCGTCTGCTGATGGGCATCTAGGTTGCTTCCATGTCCTGGCTATTATAAACAGTGCTGCGATGAACATTGGGGTGCACGTGTCTCTTTCAGATCTGGTTTCCTCGGTGTGTATGCCCAGAAGTGGGATTGCTGGGTCATATGGCAGTTCTATTTCCAGCTTTTTAAGAAATCTCCACACTGTTTTCCATAGTGGCTGTACTAATTTGCATTCCCACCAACAGTGTAAGAGGGTTCCCTTTTCTCCACACCCTCTCCAGCATTTATTGCTTGTAGACTTTTGGATAGCAGCCATCCTGACTGGTGTGTAATGGTACCTCATTGTGGTTTTGATTTGCATTTCTCTGATAATGAGTGATGTTGAGCATCTTTTCATGTGTTTTTTTTGCCATCTGTATGTCTTCCTTGGAGAAATGTCTGTTCAGTTCTTTGGCCCATTTTTTGATTGGGTCATTTATTTTTCTGGAGTTGAGCTGGAGGAGTTGCTTGTATATTTTTGTTAATCTCTGATAGTTTTTAAAATGACAAAACTTTTCATTAGTCATTCCGGCTCTGCAACCAATTTTTTTAACTTCCAGTCAATTTTTAACATTTTGGGAAAGCTACTTCTCAGAAGTTAGATTCATTTTCTTTAATCTATATAGTCAAGATGACAATTTTGATAATCAGTTTCTTTCATTCCCCAATAACCCAATGAGTTGATGTAATCAGGCAAAATGAATGATCTAATGACTCACCCAGTCATGATCTAATGACTAATACTACTTTACAAAGCTATAATGATTCTAAAGCTCTCTAAGTCGGCTGAAGGATTAAAAATACCACCTGTCAGACAAAATGATTTATACATTCTTTGGCATGTACAGTATAACTCATTGTCTAACTGGCATGTTACCCACTTTTACATCCTGTTTTTAACCCTTTTTCCCCACTCCCCACAGAGAAAAGGAATTTACACAAAGAATTTACACTGTTCTTCACTAAATTTGTTTTTTCTCCAAAAGTCCCAAGTACAACATCAATCTCTTTCCTCAGATCTCAGGAATAAAGGCTTCCTCCATCTCATCTATTCCCCCAAATGTAACCTAGACAAATAACTTCTATGTGTTATCTACAATGAATTTATTTTATGAAGAGAGACATCATGAAAGACTTATACCAACTGTTTCTGTCTTCATCAATGACCATATATACGCTCCCCCAATTAGTTCCATTTCCACGTCTCCACCAGCGGCTTTCAGGAGTACCTGGCTTGGACTGTGTTTGATCAACAAGGGTCCTGATGGCAGGCCATGGTCCATAATTTTTTTCCATCCTATCTCAAAAAAGAGAAAAAGGATTCTCTTAATCTGTGGTTTACAGTATATATATCTATCATTGTGTTGTTTAATTGCTAAGTCATGTCCAACTCTTTTGCAACCTCACAGATTGTAGCATGCCAGGCTCCTCTGTCCATGGGATTTCCCAGGCAAGAATACTGGAGTGGGTAGCCATTCCCTTCTCCAGGTGATCTTCCCGACCCAAGGATTGAACCTGCATCTCTCTCACTGGCAGGTGGATTCTTTATTGCTGAGTCACCAGGGAAGAAGAATATATCTATATATGTTTATATATTCATAAACATAAAAATAAACACAAAGATCTAACTTCATGTTAATCTTCAGGTTTCAGTTTCATTCTAAGCATCGTCTTTCTCATATATTTCTAAATGCTAAATTCTGGGGAAATTAGTTGCAACTGAATATTCCAGTGGTCATGTATGGATGTGAGAGTTGGACTATAAAGAAGGCTGAGCGCCGAAGAACTAATGCTTTTGAACTGTGGTGCTGGAGAAGACTCTTGAGAGTCCCTTGGACTGCAAGGAGATCCAACCAGTCCATCCTAAAGGAGATCAGTCCTGGGTGTTCATTGGAAGGACTGATGTTGAAGCTGAAACTCCAAGACTTTCACCACCTGATGTGAGGAGCTGACCCATTGGAAAAGACCCTGATGCTGGGAAAGATTGGGGGCAGGAGGAGAAGGGGATGACAGAGGATGAGATGGTTGAATGGCATTGCCGGCTTGATAGACATGGGTGTGGGTGGACTCTGGGAGTTGGTGATGGACAGGGAGGCGTGGTGTGCTGTGGTTCATGGGGTCGCAAAGAGTTGGACACGACTGAGCAATTGAACTGAAACTGAACTGATATAGAATTTAGATTGGCCTAAGTACCACAATATTTTTTTTAAAAATCATGAAAATATAGGTTGTTCCTGGGAATTGTATCTACCTACAGTTATTATGAGAACAAATAACAGATATCTTAACTACCCCTTCCCATTAATTCCTAGGCCATCCTTCAAGGCTCAGCTCAAATGCTTCCTTCCTATGAACCCTTTCTTGATCCTCTAGCTGAACAATATTTATTCGTTCACTTTATCTGGATCAATCTTATGGCAAACAGCTTATGGACAAAATGTTAATATTTTATTTCTAGCATTACAGATTTTATGTGCATCTTTTAAATTCTCCTTTGTATTCTCAACCACTCCTAGGATAGCACCTGGCACATAATGCTACATCGATGGAGTACTTATTCTTGACAAGGCATTGTGCTTAGTATTATATAGGAATTTTCTCACAAAATCCTTACAGCAGCCCTATTCATGCATTCAATCCTATTTTCAGCCTCTTCTGTGAGGGAGAAAATACTAGATTCACTTTAAACTCAGTAAACAAGACAGATACGGTGCCTGTCCTCAAGCTCACAGTCTATGGCAATTGGTACTGTTGCTGTTCTCTAGTATAGAGATGAGGAAAAGTGAAGCTCAAAGAAGTTATCAATAATTTGTTTGCCTGGAATCACACAACAAAAAAGTGTCAGAGTCTGAATTCAAACTCAGCTCTACAGACTGGATATTCAAGACCCTGTGCATATAACCACTATGTTCTAAAAGAGGTACCTGATAAACACTCACTGAGATAAAGTTTCAGAAAACTCCTACAATGAAAACTATCCCAAGGATAATGAAGATTTCCATTCAATTTCGTTCAGGGAGAGGAAACCAGGAAATGAACAAAAAGGCAGATGGGGTTTGTAATAAAAGCCTCATACACACCTGGTAACTCAGAATTGCTAAACAAGCCATCTGCTGACGATGCTCAGCACTGCTCCGCTCAGCACTGAGAAAGTCCTGTCTCTTAAATTCGTCCCTCCTGAGAGGCAGCGATTTGCTACGCGCCAGGGTGGTGTAGCCAAGTCGTTAATTAGCAATGAGACCTTGTATCTCCTACCACATAACCGGCAGCATGGAGTGGAAGGTAAGGATGCATAGCTCCTTACTTAAACGTGGCGGGGGGGTGGGGGAGTGGGGGGTGGTATTCTTGAAAGGTGAACTCCCATGCCCAGAAACGGCCTTCAAAAAGGTGTGAGTTGGGGGCAACTAAAAAGCCTGGGAGCCAGCCACCCTAGAGCCTCAGCTCTGCAACAAAGAGAAGCCGCCGCAGTAAGAAGCCCCCACAGGCAACGAAAAGTAGCCCCCGCTGGCCACAACTAAAGAAGAGCTCGTGCATAGCCACAAAGACCCAGCGAAGCCAAAAATAAATAAATAAATAATTTTTAAAGAAAAGAAAATGATGTGAGTGTGTACTTCTCACCGGAGGTGTGAGGAAGCTACCACGAGGGGATTACGAGACCCTAAACACAACCCATGGCATGCTGGAGTCCATGGGTCACAAGGACTTGCACACAACTTGGCGACTCAACAGCACACAATGCAGGTGCCCCTGGCCCTGTGGGCCGCCCACCCCAGAGCCCACAGCCTGCCTGGACTCCCTTCTCCAGAGGCCACTGTGGCACCTGCACTGTTTGGCCTATCCTGGTCATCTCCTCAAGCAAACCACGTTTCAGAGTGGCGATATCCCAAGACACGGCATTACGAGGTGCCTGGAGGCATGCATCTTATTCCCCACAATCTATTAGCCCAACAAGGGACCACCTGGCTTTACATCAGGTTCCCCGCTAGAACGTACTCAGACGGTAAAGAGTCTGGCTGCAATGCAGGAGCCTTGGGTTCGATCCCTGGAGAAGGAAATGGCAACCACTCCAGTATTCTTGCCTGGAAAATCCCATGAACGGAGGAGAATGGAAGGCTACAGCCCATGGGGGTCGCAAAGAGTGGGACTCGACAGAGCGACTAACACTCTCCCCGCGTTAAGCGGTGGAGACAGTTTCTAAGGGCCAGGTCCTGACCCAGAGGCTCCCGCAACAAGGTGGACAGACAGCTTCAGCCACCGGGCCCCCGCCTCGCCCGCCGCCAGACCCCGCCCCCTGCATTCAGGCAGTTAACCGGACAACCAACTCGCAGAGGCTGCAAGTTGGTCTCAAGAAGGTGTGTGGGTCGCAGGCTGCACACTCCACCACACCGGCCACGCCCCTCACCACCACCCGGCCAATGGCCTGCTGCGCCGGCGCAGGGTGTTCCAGAACCAGTCCTCTCTCGCCGCCTGTGCGCGGGGCGCATGCGCCTTGAGAGGCCGACAGGGTGAGGGGTCTGAAGCGAGGGGAGGCGGCCTTGGAAATGGAGGGAGTGAGAGCGCACCCCTTAGGCCCTGACAGGGCGCCGGCTGGAGCGCGCGTTGGGCGGAGCCGGGGGCAGTGGTCGCCAGGGAGGTCGAGGCTCTGGGTCCGACCCCGAAATGGAGCGGGGTCCGGCGCTCCGCTGACTCGCCCGTGTTTGTGTGTATGTTCCCTCGCAGGGAGACATGGAGAGCTGTTTGGTGGCCGCGGCGCTGAACGGGGTGGACCGACGTTCCCTGCAGCGTTCGGCTAGGCTGGGTCAGGAAGTGCTGGAGCGGGCCAAGAGGAGGGCGGTGGACTGGCCTTCGGTGGAGCTTCCCAAAGGCAGCGTGGGGATCGTTTCCCGGGTGCGGTACTACGGAGAAAGAGGGCCGGCAGCCAGCCCCCAGCGCCTTCTCCCAGGAAAGGTGAGGGCCTCTGTGCTGTGAACCAGCCCATTCATTCCCTCAGCAGCGTCTTGCTGAGAACCAGGGCACGCCACACGCTGGGACCCGAGGGATCCTGTGCTTGCGGAAGCTGCTGTGTATCAGGACAGTGAACCGGAAAGTCTTGAGAACTGTTGACATTTGACAGATTCTTAGTGGGTAGCTTTAGGACACCGCTAGGTACCGCTAGCTAGTGCCAGGGCTAGTGCTCGGCCCTGGTTGGTCATTTTTTAACACAATTCTTTGAGGCTATCAATTCGATATTCGAGGAAAGCCAACAAACCTTTGTCCTGGAAAAATTGCATCTGTGTGTATTCCTTTTAGAGTTGGAATTCTTTCTCAATAAGATCCTTTTACTAATTTGAACTTGCAGAGCCCTTTCAAAAAGTAAAAAGGAAGGTATTTCCAAAATGATTTCCTTCTCCAGTAGGGAATACAGATCTCACCTGTGATTTGCCGTTTATTCAAATAGAGAGAAGACAGACACCCGTCCCTCAGTGCTTCCTTCAGAACAATGGCTGAATACATGAACTATACTTCAAGTCAGTGTGGGGTAAGTTGGTGTGAGCCAAAGCATGCCCCTGATCTGCCTGCTGATGGATCACAAAGTGGATTTTTGTAGAATTTAGGAAGAATCTGCACCCAGTCTGTCCACCCGGTCCTGCCTTCCTGGGCGGGTTGTAATTAGCCAAGGATTTACCACAGGTGATAAATCCAGTTTACAGTTCATTCAACAAATACAGACTGCCTAGCTTTAGCTGTTAGGAGATTACAGCAATGAACAAGGCAGAAAAGTTCTGCCCTCACTATTGTTTTTAGATGGGGATGTGGGTGCTTATTTGCTGAATTCCAAAGTAAGACCAAACATAAGAAGTTTTTAAAACTTTGAACTAAACTAAAATTTTTTTAATATGTAAAATCACTCTAAATTGGAACTGAGTCTGTTTTCAAAGCAAAAATTGAAACAAAATCCCTCCGTTAGATTTTAATCTCTTTTCCAAGTCCCTGATAACATAGTTTTTAAGTATGTCCCTTTGGGTCCATATCACTTGTTGGCTACAAAGCTGGTTTTGTGGCACAGACGCAGTGCCCTCATCAGAAGTAGTGTGGCTTAATGGCAGGGGTGGCATCCCAGGAATCTGACCTGTATTCTGCCACTTGCTGGCTCTAATGCCTTAGGCCAATTAGTTTCTCTCAGCATTACCTTCCCTGTGGTAAATTGACAATGTTCAAGTCCTTTCCAGCCCTTTTAGTCTGTTTCTTCAGTTTGCACTGAAAGATGAACGCCAGAAAATTGCCATAAACTGTAGCACAGAGGACCTATGTGAGATTTTCGGTTCCATTCATTAAAATGGGTGAACAAAGGTTTTAAAGATACTCTTCTCAAAAGCATACACTAAGGTCATCTCTAAGCACTTTAAGGGAATGTTGAAGGTGGACCAGCCAACATTCAAGAAAATCACCTGCATGGAAGGTACTCTGTGTCTTCTAGGACTTAAAACAGACTCTGTGGTCTTGTCCAGCCTAACATTTTATGATTCTTATGTGGGTGTAAGGGTGCTGGTCTCCATGACAGAAGGAAGAAAATACCTCGTTTCTATCCTGCTTTTCAATTTCATAATGAATATTGAAATTAAAAAAAACTAATGTTTCTACATCTTTTATAAAATCCTTACGACTCCAAGAATAGGATTCCAACCAATGAGATACGGTTCAGAGAGTATTTTTATGTTCTTATTCTGTGAAATGGTTTTAGAAAAATCCATAACTTTGGCTCTAATATAAAGTGATGAAGTTAAACACTTTGGTTCATGGTTCAGTAAAAGGAATAATATTTGTCTTTGGTTTGAGGTTTAGCAAATTGGTATTCTTCACTTTGGTTTTCAGTTCATGCTTCAGTTCAAGTCTCCATTAAAGAATGGAGCCTCAGAACTCCTTGGCTCTCTAGAGATAGAATTAAGAACAGTGTTCTGAGTTCATTTTCAGAATTTTGAAGCAGCCCCTAAGTTACATCATTATATTCATGTCCTGACGCGCTTTTCCCAGCTTCTCATTCTTTTGGTCTCTTGCCTTAAACATTCTCCCTACCCTTTGTTCCAAACAGGCAAGCTTATGATGTCCTCAACATTAGTCACTATCAAGGGCAAGTCTAAGGTTAACTTGGAGGGGGAGAAAGGAAGTAGACAAGGAAAAAAACTGCTTTCTGATCCTTTGGATGATTTTGCCTAAATCAGAGATTACTCCCTCCCCTCCTCCACATGGGGAGAACGGCTGTCTAGTGGTTGTATTTCCTGTTGTATTTCTAAATTGCCAACAGATGCACGTCTCTCTTCTCTTGTCCTTGCCTGAGACTTAGTAAACACAGACCTGTTTGTCATAACTTGTCATGAATAGAGATGAAATGGCTTGTGTATTGATATCAGAGTGAGGATGTTGTGAAAACTATTTAACCTGACAGAGAGCATGGTCCTACCCAGCCTGAGTTGCCAGAGTTCTTGCCCTGCAGAGGCAGCAGATGGCAGCAAAGTAATGCCAACTGCAGTTTCCTTCTCTACAGTCACTTTATGCAGGCTGATTTGTTACATGACTTAAGAGGCTTCTTGGGAGGGCAGGTAATTTACCTTTGCTCTCTTGCCTCTCTTCTTAACCATAATTTGCCCAAGTAACAGGGTGTTTTTTGAAAATCTGATCAGACTCTTTGGTTACCCAATGTCTTCCACGTTACCTCTCTAGAAATATTACTCATCTGCACCAGAGGAAGGAGGGGCACCCCACGTCTACCGCTATCACAGAGGGACGTCGGAGCTACACCTGTGCTCTGATGCAGGGCGTGGTCAGGTATGTATCCTTAGCTGTGCTGTGCCCTCCGCCTCCCAAACTGGGAGGCCCTACATCCTGGAGCTTCTGCTGGATTGTGTTACTGGGTGGCTGGGTGACTCCACATGACAGCACTTTATGGAAATGTTTCTCTTCGGAGAATTTACGGCAGTGAACATGAAATAAGGAGTTTTTGTCCAACATACACGATTGATGCCACTATAGGACCTTCAGTGACAATGCTGGGCCAAGGGATTCTTGAGCAGGCTTAACAAAAAGCGCTTCAGATATCCTCTTCTATGTCTAGAGATATGAAAGAGACTTTTAATCATCATGTATTTTACCAAAAAAAATTTTTTTTTAATAAAGTAGTGATAAGTATCATATCTTTGGTAATTTTAAAAAAGGAAGTGCAAGGAGGGGGTCTCTTTCAACAACATCCTTTTCCTAAAGATAACAGTTACAGGCTTCTCACTATGAATTCCCTGTCTTACCACATGTCACTCTGGGAAGTCTAAAAGACTCTACTTGTTGAACTGATTCAACAGGAGTCCTTTGTTATTGTTTCTGGGAAGAGTTGGTTTTTCTTGTTTTTGTTTTTAGCTCCTCTAGTTGTACTCAAAGGTAGCAAACTTAAGTCCAGAGTCTAATCCACAGGTTGGATTCCTGATCTCTCTGTTTTGAGAAGGGACAGGAGAGTGGCCACAGGGATATGAGCGAGGACTGGCTGTGTGCCAGAAGTCCCTCCCATTTCCCTGGCCTGGGGTGCGAGTGGCAGCACCAGGGCCTGGATCCAGGGCTCCCATTTCTGGCCTGATCCAGGCCCCCTTAAGAGCACCTGACCCTAAGGGAGCTTACACGTGTGCAAGAGTCATTTGTATCCCTCCCCTCCCTTCCTATATAATGTAAGTTGATGACGCTAAGGGAAATTGACTTTCTCAGTTCAGCCTCTTCCTCTCTAGTACTCCCACTGCTGGGAGAAGCACAGAAGAGAATGCTATTTTCTGAAAGCCTGTTAAATGTCAATCACTTTTACACTTTAAATCTTTCCTACAGTCTAGTATCCACAGGTTATAGCCTAGAAATCAAGACTTAAGAGATGTTAATCTGTCCCTCTCAATAAATGGCAGGTTTAAGATTCAAACACAGGTCTGTCTTTCTCCAAAGCCCATGTAAGGATAAAAGGTAATGATGGTAAACATCTGACTAAAAGTACTTCACAGAAATCACTAAAAGCCTTAAGAACTTAGTGACAACTTGGAAAACAGTGACAGTACAATCATTAGTTCCTCATTAAGTAGGAAAAAATTTCTCTTTACCATCCAGAAGTCAAAGTTTGGGCCCTCATCAGTGTTTCTACCTCTCTCTTCAGAGAAAAGACGCAGGCCTTAGTGTTGGAGGCATGCATCAGGTGTCAGAGTGTGTGCTGAAGGCATCCCAGTCTGTGAGTACAGAACTTCTAGGGCACTGGGCTTCCCCACCACTGCTGTCCATGAATCAGCTGACCGGGTTATAACAGGGTTCTTTGTGTTGGATCCATATTATTTTTAAGTTGGGATATTTTTACCCTCGGGGAAAGTGTGCAGCATTTTAGTTGACTGTAAAATTATATTTTCTTGGTATCCTTCCTTCCCTTGAAATTTCAGAGATAGTGTTTGTGCCTCAACTCATAGTTGTGGTCGGAAAGAATGCAGAGCATTCATAACTCCATTCCTACAGCTCAGCTGGGCTGGCACTGGGCCCTGCTGGAATTTCACCATCTGTTTAAGCAGCAGGAGGAGCCTGACCCTCCTGCTTATGAAGTGAAAACCATGGCTGAAATTCTGAAACATATACATTCAGTTAGATTGGGTTCCAAAACATTTAAAGGAGTTTGTTCCTATTTTCCACAAATGTTTCTGTGTGAAAACATACAAAGATGAGTTTTTCAGGATAAAATACTCATTAGTTCATTAACCCAGGGAATCTTCTGGAATTTGGAAGGGCTGAATTCTGAGGAGTGGAACCTCTGTATGTTGCAGTAGTAGTTTAATTTTTGTTGGTCTACAGTGTACTCCTAGCCTGGATTCAGAATATACTAGAGTTAGAAGCAACTAAGACTATTCTGCTTCTAGTACAAGTTGTTAGGCTTAGATGCCTCCATTACTGGCTGGATTTTGGTAATGCTCTTCTTCCTGTTATTCACAGTGTTGAAATCACATGCCAATCTTACCCCTTTTTATGCTGACAAACAGAGCGTCCTTGACTTTCTGCCAATTCTAATATAGCTGTATTTCCTGAAAACTTTTCTTTTCATAGTTGATCAATAAGTAGTTGTGGCCTTATATACATTCACGTCACTTAAATGATAAGCCTCCAGTTTTGCAGTAACTGGGCGAGAAAGGATATAGCATAAAGCATCTTTGGAAACACTTGGCTTCAAATTCATTTGTAAGATGGGAAGAGAGGAAGTTTCGTAAAAGTATAAATATTATCATGTAGTCCTCCCAGCAGAATTCACTGGCCAGTAGTTTGGTCCCCCATCCCCAGGGGTGGTATAGAAATGACATCTTCTGTCTGTGGCTCCTTCTAAGCATTGAGTGAGCATGTAGTGGTCTCCCCGCTGTGGGAGAGCAGCTTTGGCTCTTAATTACAGGCTCATTTCTGGTTTGTGATTTTGCTCTTTAGCCATTTGAGCTGGGACCCCTCCTCTGCCTGCAGATCTGTCCTGACCCTTCCAAGCCAGGCCTGAAGTCTGTCCTTGCAGGATGGCTTGTGCTCAGCTCAGCTCTAAACATAAGTCTTTTCATTAACTCCAGCTTCCCGTGTTTTGCCCTTTAGATCTTCTTCAACTTACATCCTGATAAATCCATCATAAGTTGAAAATATCATAAATCAAAAGTGTACTTAAATCCCTAAGCTACTGAAAGTCATAGTTTCGCCTCGCCTGCCTTAAACATGCACAGACACTTACATACCCTGCAGTTGGGCAAAATCATCTAACACAAAACCTACTTGATGGTGAAGTTTTGAATAGTTCATGTAATTTATCAAATACTGCACTGAAGGTGAAAAGGAGAGCGGTTGTATGGGTATAATGGTTATAAGTGTATCAGTTGTTTACTCTCGTGGTTGCACGCTGACTGGGAGATCGCTCACTGCTGCCACAGCATCACAGTAGCCTGCGAAAAGATCCAAATTGAACGTACAGTTTCTACTGAATGCATATCACATTCACATTATGGTAAAATCTTAAAAAAAAAAAACACATGAGTCAGACTGTTGTAAGTCAGGGACCATCTGTATGGGAGAACCAGCCCTCCAAGGGAGGACGTAACTTGCTGCATGACAAAATGGGATCTATTCATAGTCTCAGCTTTAGGAGAAATGTTTCATTCTAATAATGAATTTAGCAAAGCACACCTAAAAAGAATGCTTTGCATCATCCTGCAGTGCCTTGCTATTACTGCTGGTCTGTGCTAACAGGTGCTACTGCCTACTTTTGAGCCCCAAAGCAATAGTCATTAGCCTTTCCCTCCACCTGATTCTTACCTTTATACTCCAACCAGTGTGTCCTTTTATGATTCTTCATGTTCCGGCAACAACTCAGCATTTTCACATACATTCTTGTGCGCTAATTTTAGCATTAAGGAGACAAGCATAAAGAGAGGGTGAGACCAGCCTGAATGGCAGTCCTGTTGCGTGGCCAAGCCAGGTGTAGAAAGCAGAACCTCCATCTCCCTCGTTAGTGCCTCTCACTGCATCACACACAAGGTGCCCTGACAGCACCAGGACATAAAACCTCTAAACTGGTAATATCTGCTTTTCCTTGCAGGCTGAGAACATCTCTAAGGACCTCTACATAGAGGTATATCCAGGGACCTATTCCGTCACTGTGGGTGCAGATGACTTGACCAAAAAGACTCACGTGGTAGCAGTTGATTCTGGACAAAGTGTGGACTTGGTCTTCCCCATATGATGTTGACCATCACAGACATCACATCACCTTTTTCTAAGTATCAAGAAGAATAAAGCTACTGTATATTCTTAATATGTACACATCAATCCTGCCTTTAGTGCCGACTGTAGAGGGTCAGCCTTCCTAGGAACTGGGGTGTGTCCCTTTCAGTGCCTATTTTAACTTGAAAGTCCCCTCACCCTCTTCTGCCTGAAAGTAATAATGTAATGATGCTGTCTGAATAGTTTTTACAGCTTGCTTTCCAAGCAAAGGTTAATTATGATAATAAAGGGAGAGATTTGGAAATGAAGAAAATTCCTTTTTTATTGGCATTAAGAAGGGAAACAAAACATCACTCTTGTACAATTGAGGCTTTATGAGAAGATAGCAGAGAGGCTGTGGACACGTTTGCCCAAAGCAGGCCAACCACATTCTGTAGCCTCTGTGGAAGAGGCATCCTCAAGCAGGTCTCACCCGGCCCCTGGCAGGGAGCCCTGGGCACCTCACTCCTGTGCCCCTCAGGACAGGTGAGGATGGTGCTGCTCACTGGACTGTCATCTGTGGCCCTGACTCTGCCGTTTCTGTTGAAGGGTGCCTTGTCAGCCACTCTGTAGCTCCACCTCTCCTCTTTAGCTTCCTATAAGAGAAAAAAACAAACAGAGTCTTATGCTGACTTTAAAAATCAGTGACTTTTGATCCTTAAAATTATGAAGTCATTGCTGTGTCCTAAGCGTCTTTAAGCTAGCACACCAACAGTACTGTTGCATCTCAGTTTAACTGCCTAGGATTTCACCTTGTTTTGAACTTAAGTTTTGCCTCAGAAAAAAAGGCCAGTATTTTATATGATGAAAACAAAGTTTTAAGTAGAGTTGTCTTAGCATTCCTAGTGAGGACCAGACTCATGGACAGAAGGCCTAATAAAGAAGACCCATACCCACCATCCTCAAGTAGAGGGGTCACTTAAACAGGGATCCTTGTACCCCCCAAGAAGCCAGTGATGAAATTTGTGGGTCCTGCAAGCCTTCTGAAATCATATGCAAGATTGTAGGTTTGACTCCAAAAGATCAAAGAACCATGGAAAGAGCCCTTCAGAAGCCCCTTTCCAGCCATTCTGCTTTACCTTGATCCATGGGGCTTTTAGTCTAAGGGGAGTTCTGACCCCCCTGATGTGCAGCAGTACCCTGACTCAGTTTTCTGCGTTCGGCTTCCTTGGGCAGGATCTGTAGCGGCTTCATGCCAGTGACGTCCAGGGCCAGCTCCCTGGGACTCCCCGCTGCAGCAGGTTTCTCTCTCTGCTGTCTGTTGCTCTTCTCATCTTTCTGGGTGCTGCAAAGTCTTATTCCTGAACCCAAAATTCAGTTAGTTGAATATGCTACCATGTTGATGGGGTTAGTCTTGATGACTTGGGTAGGACTAAATCAAGGACACAGAATCCCATAACTGTCTGAACCCTGTTTCAGTCATAAGCGAGGGAGGAGAGCAGCATGTCTGCTGGCAGGAATCCTGCCCCCAGGTTTGTTAGGTTAGGATCAGACAGTGACCTCTCAGCCTGTAACTAAAAGGAGCCAAAAGTGCGGCAGGCGGGGGGGACCCATACAAGAGGATCCTTAGGGGGCAGAGCCTCAGACCAGACTGGCAAGCGTTAGTTCTTGGTGGCACTCAAGCACAATGAGGAGAAGCAAAGCAGCACATTTTCTTAAAAGGGAACAAGATCTGGAAGGGAGAGAAGAAAACCTCTGGTGTTCGCCATGGTTTCCAGCCCAGCACACATGTCCTTTTACATGCTTCATCTCACTGGTTAGTAAGGCACAGCGTCCATCTGGGCTGAGGGCTGGTCGGGCTTATTCTCCATAGCTTTGAGTGCAGGTGTGGGACTTGGCAGAGGGCAGGCTCACTGATTATCATGGTTCCACTCCAAGAATTAACCTTTGCCTGGAGCATAACAAATGGTCCAATAACCTAGAGGAAAGCCAGGCCAAGTACCTGAAGATACTCTTATTTCTCTTTATGGCCAATTATTAGAATTTATTTGGGGATGCAGGGTACTTTAGAGAGGATCTGTTTAAATACAGTAATGGGGAAAGAGGCTGAATGTAGGTGTAGGTGGTTGGGTGGTGGAGATAAGAGTAGTGTACCCTGGGGCCAGGAAAGATTGGTCTGGACTCAGTTGGGTTGGGAACAGTCTGGAGAGAATGCCATGGAGCAAGCCATGGGAATGTAGGCCTGGAGCCAGGGCAGGTCTGCACACCATGGCACCCTGGCTACCCCACTGGCCTGCCTCTCCATGAGGCAGGGCCTCATCCTATCTCAGTCGCTCCCCACAGGCTACTCCCTGTTGGATAGGTACAGCTTTTCTTTCTCTGAGTCTGTGCTGGAGCAGGAGGCAGTGGAAGCCATGGAAAAATTAACTTAAAAACTCTAGATTTGGGCACTATTTTCTTTATATTATCACTTGTTGGAGGGCACACCTATAGAAACCTGTTTTCAAGCACTTCTTCCAGGGCCTTTCACTGTGAGGAAAGAAGTCCAGGAAGCTCTCCCTGCCCCATCTTGACATTTTCTATACAAAGGGTCCTCAGAGAGTGGAGGAAAAGCCCCACTGGTCATAGCTAGATTCCTGTCCCTCTAGTTATTCCCTCTCAGACATGGGGGGAAGATCCCACACCTTGAAACCTAAGGAAGGAACCATATAAAATACAACAGCAGTTGGGATTTCTCTGGTGGTCCAGTGGTTAAGAATTCCCCTTGCAATGCAGGGGATCCGGGTTCAATCCCTGGTTGGGGAACTAAGATCCCACATGCCGCAGGGCATCTAAACCATGTACCACAGTTAAGAGAGTCCATGTGCTGTACCAGGAAAGATCCTCCATGACACGATGAAGACCTGGGTGCCACAACTAAGACCCAATGCAGCCAAACAAAAACAAATCAGCAACTAATATGTCTATCCCTGCCTACTCCAAAGGTCAGGGATTCAGAGGAGTCACCAAGAAAGATTCTCACTGTAGAAACAATTTCTCAGCTTCCTGAAATGGAAGATTAATAAAGTCCTTATGCCTGGAGCAAGACTGAAATCCCTGTGGACTGACAGGTCCTGATTAAGCAGATATCCTGGAAATAGGGCAATGGCTTCAAATGGGGACTCACAGTGAGTCCCAGAGTGGGCAGTATCTACAGATCCTTACACCCTTAGCAGTGGTATTCTTTAACCCTCAGTATCCCTCTCCCAGGTTGAATGTTCATTTAGTTCACCGAAGGTTGAATTAGTCATCCCAGGGCCCCAAGAATCTAGTCTAGGGCTGGCTAGGGCAAGCCATCTCCTTCATAAAGCTCTGCCAGCTGCCTTAGGCATCTGCTCTTTCTGGGCCACATTGGGAATTTAAATTGCATGGCATGAGGCATTATCAGTGATACACTACCCTAAACCTACAAGGGCATGTCACACGGGTCTTTGCTTGGGTAGAGAAGTTCGGGGGTGGCTGCAGATTGCTCACAATGACACTGCCTCCCCTCTCCATGGTAGAGTGACATGATTAAGGCTGTGCCTGGTTCTTCCCACTCTGACTTCCTCAGGGGCTCATATGAAGAGTAGGGTCTGATGACCAGTGTTTAAAGACCAGTTGCTGAGTTCTCAGGGCCTTGAAGACTCTAATCAACATGTGGAGGCATTCTGACTGCGCATGTAGAGAAAAATCACAGCCTCCAAGGAAAGTGAAGGAGGGAAGGGTACAAACGGACAATGGCAGTGCCCTGCCAGTAGAAACTAGTGAAAAAAGGAAGTACAGTTGTCAAATAGGGATGCAAAGCTTAGCACCAAGATTGGCCCATCCTTTCTTGTTAGTTTTCCATTTAATCAATAAAGCCCACTACTTCCCTCTTATCACAGCCTCCCTTCAGTATGACCACACCCCCCCCAGTGTTACTTCCAGTTTGCATCACAGCAGACACGAGTATCAGATTCCTGAGAGGCCACTCCCCCCCAATCCCCCAAAGAGGGGGTTGCGGAGGGGACGGGAGGCAGGGGCCTCAGCCCCACCCTAGGAAAAGACCTACCTGGCTTCCCCGGGTGCGGCTCAGGCCCGTTTCTCCTCCAGTACCTCCACTCGGGCTGGCAGAGGCCACCCTGCTTCCCTGGAGACTTCTCGAGAAGGATGGGGTCCATGCTGACTGTGCTGTCCACCAGCAGCCTCGGAGGGGGGCCCATCTCCAGCTCATTCTCCAAATCCTCGTCTTCAGAAGAGGAGGCAGAGGAGGAGGAAACAGCCATGGGAGCCAGCACTGCCACTTCTTCCTCCTTAGGATTCTCCAGGGGCAAAAGCTGGGCTGTGGGCTTCAGCTCCGCTTCTGGAGGTTCTCTGGCTGCGACCCCTGAGGTCCTGATTAGAGGCCACCAGATGGGTCCAGCCAGGGGGCAGCAGCAGAGGCAGCCCTGGACCAGCAGCTGGCAGCTGGCATGTGGGTAGCAGGGAGCACACAGGAACGGAGGGCTCCAAGGAAGCCCGCTGGTGACCAATCCAGCGACCGGCCCCACCAGAGAGCAGCAAGGGGCCCAGACGAGGGGCCTGGGGTGCTCCCTGGTGTAAGGCTTGTGCAGCCCATCCACAGCCTTCTTCCAGACAGCCGGGGGCACCCACTGGACCCCTCTGAGAGGCACTGGTGCGGTCCTGCCATTCCAGAAGTGAACAGTAATTTCTTCTTCTTTGGGGGATGCTATGTAACAGAGAAGGGCAACATTTTGTTACAACCGCCTCCTCCACATCAAGGGTAAGGGTTCTCTTCTCCCCAGAAGCAAGCCTCAGCAGAGCCCCTCAGCTTTGCCTGCTGTCTCACACGCAAGTCTCCCTGCAAAGCCCGCCAGGGACGTTCCTCACCTGCCCCATGTTTACCTCCCCATCCTGTGCCTCCGTGTCTCAGTTTTCTCATCAAAACCAAAATGCCTCCTCAGGTAGGAGGAGGGGAGGAGGAGCCTCCTCTGTGGTTCTCTGAATTACGATGCTGCCTGGCCGGCCTCACACAAGGGGACACTGTATCCGTCCCCGAATGACATGGTGGGGGACCAGTCATGATTACAGGTGTGACCTCTGGATAACCTCACCACACCATAGGTCAGGTAACCAACAGAGACATAGTAGCCTTGGGTGATTTTGCTCTGATAAAAAATATTTTATAATCAGAAAAATATGATTTGTCTGTCTGTGGCCACCCTCGGGATGTAGCTGCAAGTGAAAGGGTAAGGATTTCCTCAAGCCCCTAAGACCCCTAAGCTGTAGAGACACCCGCTTTGCTCTTTCCTCAGCCTGATCACCAGCCTGGCTCCTGGGGAGCCCCAGAGCAGCTCCCTTACCTCTCTGGGGGTCTCTTGCCTCCAAGCCCAAGAGAACAGTGCCAGGACCATAGCGCTGTTGGTCAGGGCCCCAGGGTGCCAGCACCTTGTCCCCAGGTCGCAGTGAGTATTCCATGGTTGGCGAGAACTGAATGACATCTTCCTCAAAGACCACGCTCTGCCGCTGGGCTGGCAGCTCTGGGCCTGTGACAAGGGGAGCCTCAAATTCCACCAGCAGGACCCCCTGCCTCTCCAACTGTGGGAAGGAAAATATTCAGAATAATACCTGGCCTTAGGAAGCACTACAGGGAGCCTCATGGTTCCCTACATCGCCCAGAGCCAGGCTGAGGGTCTCCCTCCCACACAGCAGAGACCAGCTAGGGAAGGGGCCAGGCCAGGTGCTGCTGGAGCCCATTACGGCAGGACAGGCCGGCTATGAGGCAGAGGCTCTCCCTCTGCTTCTTGCTGTGGCAACTCTTGTTTATCACTTGTGCCTTTCTCTTCCTGTGCCCTTTCTTTTCCTGTTTTTCTTTTCTCCTACCTTTATTTTTGGTCTGCAATTCATAGGAGTAAACTGGGTCATCTCCATCTTTCCGCAAAGCACCCCTCTTCTCCCAGCCCTCCCAGGAAATGTTGTCCCTGTGTCCTGGACCAGCCAGGGGGTGGGGTATCACCCACAGGCCCTGTCAGGCAAGGACAGCTATGGCTGCTCCCGGGGCAGCCCTGTGCACTGCCTGCAGGTCCATGACGGGAGGTGGGGCCAAGGAAGGAATGAGCCGCCTGACAGGGAGGGCAGGAAGAATCCTGAGCTAATTAAAAGAATAAGCTGTTTGGAGAACTCAGTATGATTTTTGAAGAGAGATAAAGTGTGGTTACAAATTAACTTTTATCTAGTCACCAGACAGAATCTATATTTGAGCAAACTCCTGCTGATATTTCATTTGAAATCACATATTAGTGACTGGAAAATGACAAAATGACTTTTGATTGGAAATTCTATAACATATTTTTTTATAAATCACACTAGTTTTCCCTCTATGGACCCACATTCACAAAGTCTGACTCTGAAAAGAAAGAGAAAAGTTCCAGTGAAGCAAGCAGTCACCAAAGTAAAGCCCAGGCCTGGCCTCAGCACACAGGGACCGTGCCCCCATGAGGAAGGACACGGGCGCACGCGAGGTTCCTCTTTCCCTTAGGCTGGTGCTTCTAACTCCACACACCGAATCTTCCTGAACAAAGTGCTTTTACTGTACATTTTCTTCACTGTTACGGGTTGAATTATGTCCCCCCAAAATTCATGTTGATGTCCGAGCCCCTAGGACCTCAAAATGTGTCACACTTAAGTCTTAATGACTTAAGACAAAGTCACACTGAGTATGACTGAGTAGAGTGGGCCCCTAATCCAATGACTGGTGTCCTTATAAAGAGGGGAAATTTGAACACAGACGTGAGCCCAGGGAGAACAGCGAGTGAAGATGAAGACCTAGTGCGGGGGGATGCTTCTACAAGCCAAGGGGCATCAAAGATTGCCAGCAAACCACCAGAAGCTGGAAGAGGTGCACAGAACAGATCCTCCCCCAGAGCCCTCAGAATCACCACACCTGGTTCTCTCCAGAACTGAAAGAATCAATTTCTATTGTTAAAGCCACTCAGTTTGTGCCACTTTGTTATGCAGCCCTAGCAAACTGATGCGCTCACTGACATTACACTTTCACTTCCACATCCTGGCCATGGAAGATCTGTGCTTATTTAAGAAACTGAACAGCTGAGGCACATCAGGTATGACAGGGCCACCCAGAGGAGCATACAGGGAGACATGGGACTGAGGGACTTGCCTCTGGAGCAGCCTTTATCTGAGCCCTGTAATAAAAGCCATCTGGTTCCCTTCTTGCCAGGACCCATGTGTCAGCAGCCTCTCCAACTCTTCCCAGCCAGCCAGGCCCCTGCCATGCTGGGTCAGCAATGTGGAGACACGGGTAGTAAGATGCGTATCTGGGGAAAAGCAAATGGAATTAGGGAAGTAGAGAAAAGTGAGCCCTAAAACCATCAAGAAACACATTTCAAAGTTAGGTCTGAGCAGAACCATGGGGAGAACATGACAGTTAAGGTGATATGGAACAGGAGCCCCTGTAAAGAGTGGCAATCTGTGACTTCCAGTAAGATAAGGTAAATTGTTGGGAGAGAAAGAAGGAGAGGAGAGTGAAGGGAATCGCTGTTTAAGGCCTGGGAATTGTTTCAAGGTAATCAGAATGGGATTAGCCTTGATATATAACGGGATGGCCAGATTCACTGGTTCTGAAACTAGATAGCAGGCCAGGAAAGCCTTCTTCCAGGAAGGGAGATCCTGAGGCGGTGTGCGGGATTCCAGGATGAGGTGTGGAGGCTTGGATGGTGATGACAAAGGAGCAAAACTGCAAGGAGGCTGAGCACCATGGAGTCGGAAGAGAGGAAGAAGTATCTGAGCAGGGGAAGCACAGGGCTGAGTAAGAGGCTGAGGGACAGAGAAAAGGAGAAGCTGGCTCTGGGGACTCTGGTAGACAAAACCAAGCCATAGGGAATTGTTGAGTCAGGTTTTGGTTTTCCAGGGGAAAAAAAAAAAGTGTTTATTTGTAGTGGGCAAGCCAGGATACAGGACTGGTTAAACTCTGGCTTTGAAGGGAAATGGTCCACATGGGTGAAACAAGAAAGGGGGCTGGTAGGGTTCAAGCCTGGGCAGACTGACTTGAATAGCATGGGACTTGCACAATTTGTATGTGCTTATCAGCTGAGTTTCCCTTCTCCTCTTGTATTCTCACTGTAGACAGCTAATTTTGAGTACCAGTCACAAAAAGCTAGGACAACTGGGGGAACCTGAGGAGGGATCTGGAGACCTCACCTCACCTAATTCCTCATATAGGGCCAGGGCAAGTCTCAGAGAAGATGACAAAATGAGCCAGAAGTTTTATAACTGGTGATGCCTGCCTTCTCCCACACCTGCCAACTCTGACATCAGCCCCTCTGCTACAAAGTGGGACAAAAGCCATGTCAACCCTTGCCGCTGGGGGTAGAGTTTATTTTTATTTATTTATATTTTGGCTGCACATGGAGGCATGCAGGATCTTAGTTCCCTAATCACGGATCGAACCCGTGTTCCCTGCAGTGGAATCCTGGAGTCCTAAACACTGCACCTCCAGGCAAGTCTCTTTGTATTTATTTATCGGGAGTACAGTTGGGGCGATTATAATAACCCAAGGAACTCAGCGCACACGGGTAAGGGACCCTTTCGGCCTTCCCAGGAAGCAAGTCCTCTCTCTCCTGGGCCATCATGTCTCCCACAATCTTGAGCCAAGAACAGAGAGGAAAAAAGAAGCACAGATGGGTACCTGGTGAGGAGGCTGTGCCGGGTCAGACAGGGTGCTCGGCAGGCGAGGGGGCAGGTGAAGGAGAGGTCCCAGGGAAGAGCGGTGCCCGCCCAGGCAGGGGCCTTCAGGGTCGTGGCCACGGTGCAGTATTTGGGCAAAGGCGTCCCAGGCCCCGCGGAGGAGTCCATAGACCTCGGCGAAAACACCTGAGAACCAGCGGCTCTATTACCTGAGCTGCAGCCCACAGCCCAGCAGAGGGCGCCTGGTTCGCGGCTGCGCTCAGCTCTGCTGTTTGCGGGCTCTCCGCGGCCCCACCCGCTCCCACCACGCGCAGAGTGTCCCCAGAATCATCACCTGCCAGGGGAGACTCCGCTCAGGAAATAGGGGAGGGGTTGAAAGAGCAAGAGCTGTGATTTCCCAGAAACCCAGCTGGCAGTCCACCGCCTGCTGGCTGCGTGCTCACTTCACCTGGGTGCGTCAGTTAACGCCCTGGAGATGATCTGTGGAAAGCACCTGGCATCTTTAAGTAGCTCAATCAATATACGTTAGTTTTTTTACCCCCCCCCCCCCCCACACACACACCAGTTGTAGAGACTTCGGGGCTTTAAAACCATACTTCCTTTTACAAATCCCAGCCCTTGATGACAAACTGACCCCTAACCCAAGCCACAGACTTCCCTCCTAACCTGGTCACCTGGGGGACTGACTCGACCGAGCTGAGAGCCCAGGGCGGTGGCCTCCGTAGATGTGCTCAGAGGCGACAGCTGCCACCCAGGGCCCAGCCCAGCTCGGCCCTGTTGGGTGTGCTCCTGCCCAAGCCCACGGTTCTGACCCCAAGAGTACTTACCACAGCCCCAGCCAGACTCCTCCACCTCAGCCTGGGTCCCTTCCGACAGTTGGGAGTTCACGGCCTCAGCCCAACCGACTCCTGGTTGCCAAGCAGGTTGCCATGGATACAGCCAGCTGGGCCAGAGGGAGTGCACTGAGCATGTGCGGAGGGGAGACTGGGGCCTTGGGCAGCATGGGCGGGAAGGGAGGGTGGGGGGTTGGTTATTCACCGCCTTTCTGGAGAGTGGTGTTGACAGGTGGTGTTGAGGAGAAGGGCCAGTGTAGCATCAGTTCCCAGAAGCTAAGCTTCTCCACAGCTAAAGAGTCAGTGGCGGTGGGAAGCCCTCCTGGATCTAGGAGAGTCTTGGGAGGGAGGGGGCTGACCCCACAGAGTCTCAAGGCTGTTGATCTGCCTTCCTCCTCTGTGGGCAGGAGGCTGGAGTGGAGGGAACCCACTGGTTGGCTTAAGGACTCTAAGATAGAATTTGTAGTTTAAAATGAAATAACCAAAAGCGTGAGCACATTTGTCTGAAGGACACAGGACTGCTGAGAAGCAGGTGTGTGGTGATAACTTAGGGTGGTGGGAGTGGACACCGGGGACCAAAGGAACAGAAGTCCAGATTCCGCTTTCATTTGAACATCCAGAGGAGGCTGGTATTTAAGGCATCTGACAGCCATATTGCACATATGTGAGTGTCTCTACCACATCTATTCCCCCCTTCCACCAGTTCCTGTTTCTGTTGTGAATCTGAGTGTACCCCTCGTTGATGTGTGTCCATCAGCACATTCCATCCCCTGTCCTCTAAGGCATCGGCATGTCCCCTGCCTCTCCAGTCAGCATGAATCTCAAGACTTTTGTTAGAAATCTTGGTTATAGAATTTATCTTTCTTCCTATACATAAATAAGAAAGCTTATAGTTCTGGGAGCTCCTGACAGTCTTTTTGGGACACTGAAGCTGTTCCCAGAGAGGATAGATCTAAAGAACACAGATTCTTGGTGACAGTGTTGAACCTTGTCTGAACCTGTACCCCTTGCAGTGGGAGTGCAAAGTCTTAACTTCTGGACCACCAGGGAAATCCTCCCTTTTTTTTATTATACCAATTTTTGTTAGATTTTGTATTGCTCACAGCCAAAAGCATCCTAACTGATGTCTACCCTCACAGAGCTTAACTTTGCAGCCAGGAGAATGACTGTTGCTCAAAAGGCTGAGTGATTTGGTACACAAAGTTAGAGTCTAAGAAAGACTAATTAGATCTCTGGCTATGAGAGAAGGATTCCTGAATAAGATAGGTGGGATTTCAATGGTGAAAGGAGAAAGATTATTCCATTCCATCTTGGTAGGAAGCAAGAGCTAAGAGAGAAGGATGCATTTGCAACACGTGATTTTCTTTTGGGAGGGGGGTGGGGAATGGAGTGTCATGGGAAAATCAATGGGAAGGGGCCAAACTGGTGGGAGCTTTGAAAATCAAGCAGATGAATGTCCAACAATGTCACAGTCAAAAGGAAGTTGTCATGAGGTTTGAGCAATGAAGTGACATGAAATATTAGGTTGGCAAAAAAATTCGTTTGGTTTTTTCTGTAGCATCGTATGGAAAAAGTCAGACAAACTTTTTGGCCAGCACAATACTTTAAGAAACAGTATCAGAGTGAAAATAGAACCAGTCGAGAACAGAGCCTGAGAGGCCAGGGAGTTAACAGTGATCCAGACACAATGTGACAGAATGGAAATAGAAAAAAAATACCACCAAATATTTCTTGACACCTACCTGATGTGAGCTCTTTTCTGGGTTCTGGAAATACAGGACTGACTAAGACTTGTCCTTATCTTCAAGGAGCTCACAGTCTACTGAAGACAGAGACAAGTGTGCAAGGGGAGTCAAAATAGCAGGATGGGAATGGCAAGGAAATATGTGTGCAAAATAAAGGAACAAGTAATGGCTCTGATGGAAAGACTTCATAAAAGAGGTGACAGTGGAAATGAATGTGACAGTGTGTTGGAAGTCCTGCCTGGGCTTGGTGACAGATGGGACCTGGGGGTTAAGGAAGACAGAAGCGTTGAAGCTCATCTTGGGAATAGAAATAGACATTTTGAAGGAAGACTCGAAGACAGGTGGGATCACTGTCCTTCCCACATTATCTGGCCTAGAGAACCTGAAGAATGATGATGCTATGGACAAAAAAAGGATAATAATAATTTTTAAAAATAATGATTATAAATTAATATATATAAATTATTATATAATTATATATTAGAAAGATGGTAACGATAACCCTATGTGCAAAACAGAAAAAGAGACTCCTATGTATAGAACAGACTTGTGGACTCTGGGAGAAGGCGAGGGTGGGATGTTTCAAGAGAACAGCATTGAAACACGTATATTATCTAGGGTGAAACAGTTCACCAGCCCAGGTTGGGTGCATGAGACAAGTGCTCGGGCCTGGTGCACTGGGAAGACCCAGAGGGATAGGGTGGAGAGGGAGGTGGGAGGGGGGACCGGGATGGGGAATACATGTAAAAAAAAAAAAAAAAAAGATACACTATGGTTGTGATAAAAATAAATAAATAAATAAATAAATAATTTAAATAAATAAATAAATAAATAAATAAAAAAGAAATTTAGGAAATTGATTAGACTTTCATAGTCCTTTAAAACCTTCTGAAATGAATCATACTCTCTTTTGAATTGGCAAATCTGTTGCAAACTGAATAAAATATTCAAACATAAAAAAAAATAAATAAATAAATAAAAATAATGATTATAAAAACATTATGTGTCAGGTGCTGGTGATCCTCATAATAAACATATGGGGTAGTTGCTGTTACTCTTATTCTGTGGATGAAGAACTGAAAAGACACAGGGAGAGGCAGCAAAGTCAGAATGTAAACAGAGCAATATGACTGCAGAGCCTGCCCGCTTAGGCCCTACACTAAGCTACCAGAGGATGTCTGCTGCATGCAGGATAAAGATGATTCTGAAATAATTTCAAATGACAACAAGGTTTTGTTAATTACTTTTGCTTTAGCCCCAAAATACTTCCCCGTCATGTTATGGGTAAAGCGTAAATTTCTTGCTAACCCCAAGTAATAAAACTCACCAAATTTTGACAAATCAAGAAAGGTTCATTGTGCTGCTTAGCATGAAACATCTGCAAAGTGCGTTGACTAGGCATTAATCATCCTTTACATTACTTTTGTGAGTTTCTCACACCTGAGACTCTGGTCAAGTGTGGGAGAAGGGCAAGTTGAGAGGCATAGAGAATTTTCAGGACTCCTGATTCCCTAATGTTCTTGAAAGAAATCACCAAAGCTTAAGAAGCATTTTCTCAGTCTACATAAGATAATGTTTAGTACATCTGAAATCCAAGTAAAACATATCCAGCATCTGTTAGCATTTGAACTATTATCTGCCCACACAAAAATGACATTAGGGAAACTACTGAATAATGTAGGGGACCAGATTTTGTGAAAGTGTTTCTATTTGGAAACATGGAATCAAATGATTCTAAAAATGGAGTCAGAGTGGCGGGTGGTGGTTGCCATTATGGAGGAACCTTTCCTGGGATTATTCTTGGTCTCAGCCTCATCAGGGTACAGCAGGGACTGGAGGTAATTAATGTACTTGATGGCAGCTCTGAGGGTTTCCACTTTGCTGAGGCGTTTCTCCAAGTACTCCTCTGGCAGATGATGTCGGAGCTGAGCATAGCCTTCATTGACACATTTCACCCGCTGCCTTTCCCGCTCATTCCTTTTCCGGATAAAGGCTGGCCCGTAGGAATAGTCGCACCTTCTGTAATTTGGATAAGGCATTGGGAAGGAGAAGGCACAGGGTTCACCATAATTTTCCATAATCAGGGAGTCACTGGAAAAAGGCAGCAATGGCAAGTTTTCCGAGTAAGGGGATGGCACTGGGCCTTCTGGGTAGAGGTGGAACGTGACCATGGGGTCCAGATAGAAGGACCTGGTCAGTGGCAAGTGGGAGGAATCAGTGAAGACAGGCAGTTTGTCTGGCATGTTAGAGTAGCTTCTATTGTCCATCATTTCCTCTTTAGCCTGGAAACAGAACCAAGTTTATGAATTTGGCCAGATCAAAAGAGAGCAGATATCGACTTTCTCAGAGATCAGAGATTTTCCTGCTTTCATGAATAGTTTTTGAGCTCATTCTGAATACTTGATGGGGTTACAGTATTTTGTGGGTAGTAAAAGGATTTTTGACCGTACACAGAAACAGCCCGAAATAACATTGACTTGCCTTGTGAGAAAGTTATTTCCTTTCAATTCTCTGTCAATCCTTATGATTACAAGGTTATATCTCTAATCTGGTAAGAACGTGTCTTCCACACTATTAAAATGCTTTCTAA